TGATGTCTCATATTGAAATGGCCATGGCAAAGGTAAGTGTACACATGTTAGTTTCTTTTTTTTTGAAGAAGTTTGTCCTTGTTTCTAGGGTTTCTATATTGGCAACATGACTAATTTGATATTTACAGCAGCTCAGGAGTGGGTCTCCCCTTGAAGATGTTTGGAAGGTAGAAGACATCTCTGCTGTAGTGGCAGGTAACTTTATCTTTCTAACCTACACTGTTCCAAGTTATTATCTCAATCTATGGGAGATTTAGACTTTGAACGGGGTGTTGTCAAAACAGTTCCTTTCTGTTTTATGGCCCATATGTAAGATGCAGCCCACAAGATCTTTTTATTGGTATGATTATTGATGGGTGTAATTTACGTAGTTGTATAGCAGAGCTCGGGACTCAAAAGGGAGGAATGAATTGGAGATTCATAAGGGACATTAATGGAGTTCATTGGAATACCCAGTCAGAGCTACTAGGCTCTCGATGGTTAAACAATCAACACAAGGATAATAATTGAGAATAGAAATCAATAGACATAGTGTTTACCAGCTCAGAAGATTGATTAGTTTAATCTAATGGAGTCTCTTGGACTTATGAGAGTTTTTTATTGGTTGGGGAAGACGATTACAATGCTCTTGAGAGTCAATTCAAAGNCACAAGGATAATAATTGAGAATAGAAATCAATAGACATAGTGTTTACCAGCTCAGAAGATTGATTAGTTTAATCTAATGGAGTCTCTTGGACTTATGAGAGTTTTTTATTGGTTGGGGAAGACGATTACAATGCTCTTGAGAGTCAATTCAAAGATATTTGTTCCTTTAGAATGTGAGGGATCAGTACCTATATACAGTGTGAGGGAACATGGTCTTGGCATAATCCATATGATCCCTCCAGGGTTGTTATGATCCATATGAGAGAAGGNGAGTTTTTTATTGGTTGGGGAAGACGATTACAATGCTCTTGAGAGTCAATTCAAAGATATTTGTTCCTTTAGAATGTGAGGGATCAGTACCTATATACAGTGTGAGGGAATATGGTCTTGGCATAATCCACATGATCCCTCCAGGGTTGTTATGATCCATATGAGAGAAGGTTTGGTTGTTGGAGGCTACATTTCTTAGGTGTGATGTGACCTTCTAGAAGGTGTAAGTTGTCGCTGTCGTTGTGTGCAGGAGAGTTACGTTGGTGCTAACTCTTGAGCAGCGGTTCTCGACCTAGGAAGTTTGAGCTGTGGTCATGAGTTGGGTAGCTAGAGACTAGGAGCTCAGCTAATTCGTTTGACATGCATGTCTTGAGTTAGAACTCAAATTTCGATGTCATCATGCAAGTCCCCATTGGGGGCATACTTCCGAGCTATATCTGGACCGAGCTGTATCTTAATTTTTAGTATCCTCAATTGCCCCCCAGTCCTGAGCCAAGTCTACCTTGCTTGACATGGATTGNTAGCTAGAGACTAGGAGCTCAGCTAATTCGTTTGACATGCATGTCTTGAGTTAGAAGTCAAATTTCGATGTCATCATGCAAGTCCCTATTGGGGGCATACTTCCGAGCTATATCTTGACCGAGCTGTATCTTAATTTTTAGTATCCTCAATTGCCCCCCAGTCCTGAGCCAAGTCTACCTTGCTTGACATGGATTGAGACTGAACTGCGTTTTTGGTTGTTGATAAGCTCGCTCATACTCACTTGGAATAGATGTGATGGGATGTTTCTAGGGATTTAGATGTTATGCGCGTGAGAGGAGTCACTCGTGCTTTGATTATCGTGTCCGTTCAGTGTTGCTGCAGTACGCATCCAGCCGTACAATCGCCTTAAATGCCTTTGCATAGAAAATTGCCAAAATTTTCCTATTTCAACTTTTTTGCATTTTAAAATTCCTCTACGCTTTTTCTAGAAAACCCTCTCTCTCCACCTNAATGCAAAAACCAAACCACCATCTGTCAGTAAAATTCGTCACTGTCAACAACTAAGAGTATATCATTAAGTTTTAAGAGATGCATCTGCAATATCATGGATCTNCACCTTTTGCTTTGCGGCTTCATCTTCCTTCCTTCATATGTCCTTCAAGAATTCTCAACAAGCACCCCGACCTTCCTTTGGATTATTTGGAGGTCTTTCAAAGCTTCTTTCACCCTTCCTAGTCATTTTTCTTGGTTTCTAATCGTCGATCGCCTCCATTTTCTAGGTACGCCCTCTATCTTGTTTCTTCTTTAGCTTCTCTTTCCTAGGGTTTCCTAATTAAGCCTGGATCCTTTGAATTCGAGGTGGTTCTTTCATTTTTGGTTGCTTTGTTTTTGTTATTTTAGGAGCTCGGGTTGATCTTTATATCATCTTCCCCNTACGCCCTCTATCTTGTTTCTTCTTTAGCTTCTCTTTCCTAGGGTTTCCTAATTAACCCTGGATCCTTTGAATTCGAGGTGGTTCTTTCATTTTTGGTCGCTTTGTTTTTGTTATTTTAGGAGCTCGGGTTGATCTTTATATCATCTTCCTCTTTTCTTGGACCCCTACGCGACTACTAGGGTTTTCCTTTTTGATCGTTGGTGCCTGGATCCTCGAGCCATTGAGGACTATTCTTCGAACGTCCTTTCTCTCTATACTAATTTTGGCTATTTTGTGCCTTCATGTCTGCTTCTTCTGAGGCTATAGGGTCTATTGTCTCCCTTATTATGGTTGATAGATCTCCTTAGATCCGGTCTTGTCGTTGTAGACGGATTGGTTTTGATGCTAAGGACGATCTGCCGAGCTCCCTAAGGTGAGTGAAAGGGTGAATTTGTCAAATCTTGATGAGGTCGGTGACCTTGGAGATATGAGCGATGAGATAGATAACTTCGAGGTCGACGTGATCAATGCTTGCGTTTCTGGCACCGGGCTTTCTTGTTTTTTCTTGGCTCATCTTCGAAGCCTAAGAGATCTTGGAGGAGACGGACTAGGAAAAATGTCATCGGGGCTTCAGGCTCAACTGGAGAGGATGAAAACACCCCGAGCACCTTAGATGCCTTAGGACCTAGTAGAATTACCCCTCATCTGCTTAGCATACTCTTTGCCAAATTCGGCTTCCCTAGGAATATGCATGTCTGGTGTCCCAATGTTGACAATTGTTACAACATTGTGATTCTTGAGAAGACTTATTTCTTCTCCACTGCTTTTGAGTACGGGCTTTGGTTTCTCATGCACCCCTTTCTAAAGTCCGTGTTTTTGTACTTTAATGTATGTCTAACTCAACTCTCGTCCAACTTCTAAGGTATCCTAGTGGAACTTATGATTTTCTTTAAAGAAAACGGCCTCGTTGGCTTCCTAGTCGTTCCTTTACTCGTGAATTTCTTCAATGTCAAGTTCTCTCCTACCAAAGACTTCCTTTATAATTCGAAACGGGTGAGACTCGCCCTCTAACAAGTGATCTGTCGACCTCCCACAAGGGTTAGAAAGATAGCTTGTTCTTTGTGTCGGGCCAGGAATGAGAGTTCCACCTAATGCATGTGTCTCAAGCTTGGTCAAACCCAAATAAATTGGGTGAGTCCAGGCCGAGGTGTCTTATTTGAGCTTTGTTCTCATTTGTCCTTAACTTTTCGATTGCTAACGTCTTTCCTTGTTGTTTCAGGTATTTGCCCTAACCTCAGCGCCGATGTCAAGCTCATCTCACCATCGATCTAAGCACGGATTAGGCTGCCAGTGGCAAAGGGTGAAGCTGTTGTACCTCTTTTGCAGTTAGAGGAGAAGACCTTCATGGTAAGACTTTCACCTTATAACTTTTGTTAGAATTTCATCCTATTTTGTAGGATCTTTGGCTTAATCCTTTGTTTTCCTTTCCTGTTTAGATCTTGATGCCATGGCTTTAGACACTGATGTCGTTAAGGCAAAGTCGGCCAAGATGAGGACTGACACTAAAGCCTCAGAGGCTGCTGGAAAAAGGAAGGTTGAGGTTGTGTTCGATGCCGATCTAGAGCCATTAGAAAAAGTGCTAAAGAAGGACCCCAAGGAAAAGGCCCCTTCTACTCCCAAGTCGTCTACTAATGCTAAGAAGGTCAAGGATCCTCCTTCTGAGCTCAAGAGGACTCCTGCAGAGGTGGCCAAGACCTCTGTCGTGCCTAAGGAGGTGATGAAGACCTTTGTTAAAGCTACTCCATATCTTCACGATCTCCTTCCAGCGCAGACTTTAAAGGAAACACTTTCAAGGGTGCTTCATGTCGCGTTGGGGAGTCCTTCAGCTAGTGTGGCCAAAGGTGAGCACTCTTTTCTGAGCGACGTGAACCTAGCCGCCAGTGCTATGCTCTCAATCATTCCCGAAGCCGACATCCTGAAGGTTTCCTCGATGTCTTTTTCTACCTTAGCTGCTAGTGCCTTACACGAGGCAACCTTGGTAAGTTCCTGACCTCTATCTTCAGGGTTTAATGGAACCCTCTTGCTGACCTCTAACTTGAGTTTATTTCAGTTTTTGTAGATGGCGATACACATCAGTGCTTTGGTTAGCAGAGTTCGAGCTTCAGAGAAGGTTGCCGAAGATGCCAAGAAATTTCTCAAGNGAGGGAATATTTGGCTATTGGAGGCTATATTCTCTATGTGTGACGTGACCTTCTGGAAGGTGTAAGCTGTCGTTGTCATTGTGTGCACAAGGGTTACGTTGGTGCCGACTCTTGAGTGGCGGTTCTCGACCTAGGAAGTCTGAACTGACGTCATGAGCTGGGCAGTTAGAGACTGGTAGCTCAACTAATTTGTCTGACCTGCATGTCTCGAGGGCATACTTTCGAGCTGTATCTGAACCGAGCTTAATCTTGGAGAATTTTTGATATCATCAATTATCTTTTTGAATTCAGAGGCATATGCTTTATATTTTACCACTCGCAATGTCTCCTCTAAGATATGACATGGCTTAGTCCATGTGCTGATTTCAGTATCACTTGATGCCCAAACACCCCATTGTATGTTTTGTTGGTTGAAATCTTGTGTATGTTAGAGTTGACCATCAGCCAGCTATTCTCAAATTTTACTTGTACAAAATGCTGTTTCCACCTTAACTTTCACTTCAAGTAGAACGAACTTAGATTGTTACTAACATAGTGTAATACCAAGGCCTTTAACATTTTATCAATTCCATCTCATTGTAGGAGAAATGTCTCATCATGGAGATGATGCTTTGGAAGTCTCAACTCACAAGGAACCTCTAGATCAAAGACTAGGCTCAATGCATATTTTATCTGGAAATTTTGACCATCGAGTTGAATCGCTAAAATTGGAGGATGAGATTGATCAAATTTTGCAGGCGCTGAAAAAGTCACAGGAGTCCGAATACAAAATTGCAGAGGAAAGGCTTTTCGCTCAGAAAAATTATCTTCTAAATCTATATCAACAGCTTGACAAAGAGAGGTCCGATCTTTTAAGGTACACATCATCAACTGACTCAGATACGTTACTCGACACTGTCCTTAAGAGGGTGGATCAGATAAAATGGGAGGTCAAAAAACTCAGGGATATGCAAGAAGTGGCCAAGGGATTCGGAAAAACTTCAAAAGATACTCTAAAAGAACATTTTGGTATAGAAATGGAGCATTGACAACCATTTTTTAGTACATGATGATGTCTGTAGTCACCAGCTGTTTGTGTTGAAAGTTTTGTGGAGGGGGGTTACACCTCTAGATAGATCATTTGTGATATACTGATATTCAATCAACAGCCTCGGCTGGTTTTCTCGGAGATCACATTTACCGGTGAATGTAACGCTAAATTCGCTCGAGAGTAGAACTCATTCGGATGATTTACAAAGTTTGGAATGGGTTCTGCACTGTTCCATGTCCTTTGATCAATGCATGCTGATGTTAGAGAAAATGACATAGAAACGATCAGTACATACCGGAGTTTAAGAGAGGTAAATGATAGATAATTGTTTTATTATTATTTTTTAAAAAAATTAATTTTTGAATTTGAATCTATAATGTATTAAACAACAATCAACACAACACAATAAAACATCTGTTTTGACTGCAGCATGCACTTTGGATGTACCTAACCCCTTTCCAAACCAAATACATTGATGATGAGCCAAAATTCAAATACACCTTCAAGACAATATAATTCAAATTACCCTTTTTTTTTTTGGTATGTTCAGGAGCGTTTGAGTCGATTTATGTGAATTTCGATTAATTTTCTTATTAGTTCAATTAAAAATAGGTCATTTACGAGAAATAAATTTACTTGATTTAAAATATTTGAATTTATAGTTTATTTTTGTTTCTATTGTAATTCATTCAAATTTTATCTACGTTGTAATTTCAATGATTTTCCGACCAAAATCCAAATAAAATATAAAATGAATATCTACAGGTAATGTTAATCCAATTTCAAAATACAAGAAAAGCATTAACAACTATTTTACATTTATATTTTTCATATAATTAATTCATATAATCCCCAAAAACAAAGCTTGAGATTTACATTACGAAGACAATCCCTGCATTTTACGCAAATTCAAAAGCAGGATTGCTGTACAACAAGAAGGCGACTCAATGCTGCCCAACCCTCGCTTCCACCTTCCTCTTCTCCACCTTTCGGCACCGTCACAATCAGCTCACCATCCACAAACACCGCCTGCGCCAACTCCGTTCTCGTTGTCGCCGGCAGCCTAAACCGCCACGTGTCAACCTTCAGGTTATCCAACAACTCCTCGATGACGCCATCACCAACACCACCACTCCTGACGACAATTTTGGTAACCCCAGGGTGAATCTCCACGGCATGTGCCCTGACTTCATCACCGACCCCGACGGCGTCTTCGTCGTCGATCTCCGCAACGAATCGGAAGAATTCCGAGGTCTCCTCCACCGTTACGTCAGCGTCGGAGCGGAACGGGAGTTCCAGAACCTTGTTGAACACGTGAGGGAGTCTTTTGAGCTTTTTCTGGGCGCTACCTTCCATTAGGGTTAGGGTTTGCGACCATGAATCGAAGTCGTCTCGAACTGTGATGTTCCGCTTCATCGACACGGGATGAACCTTCATGGTTTCGATTTGTAGGGCTGTTGTTGCGAAGAATCCGAATATAATCGGAGTCAGAAGAATCAAAATCTTGATAAGGTTTGGGCGGCAATATGGTACGCTTCGAATCATCAGTTAACGGTCATAATTCAAGCCTTTTTTTTCTTTTCTCCGCTATGTTACCTATACATACAATTCATACATAAAATATACTTTTATGATGGGATTGAGAGAGATTGAAATGGAGATCAAAGAAGATAATGAAATCTGCTAATTGGGTATTTAGGGTTTATATACAGGGGACGATGAAATTGATAATTGCTATTTTTTTTTTTTGATTTTATCCATAATGATTGTATCAAACTAATTATCAAATGAATGGATTCAAAATTTTCTTCTCATTTGTCTTTGTCTATATATAGATTTTGCTTCATAAACAAGTCAATAAAGGTTCTTCTATCTCCTATCATCCGGTCGTCTCCACTGTCATTGAGCCCATGTATCATATAAACCTTCTAGAAAATGGGGTCCTGCTAATGAAATAATTAATAATAGTAATGATGCGATACACGAAATATATATATATTTTTTTTTGGTTTAAAAAAAATAATTTATAAGTATTTCAACTAATTCTTTTTCGGTGCAGTCAAAGATAAGTCATTTTTGTCAAAATTAAGATATTTATGAGAAATAAATTTTTCATGGTTTAACTTCAAGAATTAATTATCTATATTAAAAAATTAGTTATCTATATTAGTGGGTTAGCTTTGAATTGAGTCTTGAGTTGAATAATTTTTTGGAGAAATGGGTGATGAAGTAGATCACAAAAAGATAGAGATAGGGATAGAGCGGGGATGGAAGCAGAAGCACAAAAGCTGCAAAAATTTGAGAGTAAGAGCATCTTATTATATGCATATTGACACACATTCATTCATTAAAATAAATAAAAATAATATTTAAAAAATTAATTTTTTGCACAACTCTATGATAAACTATTAATTTTTAGATATATGTTGACTATAAATTCTTAAAATGAAAATTATAATTTACAAATAACATTATAATTTGATACGGATTTTTGGTATGATACTTGTCACACCCCTATTCTGGATCACATAGGGTGGGCGGCGGACCAGCCATCAAGGTCTTAACCAACTAATCCTATACATAATAAATGTAAAATACAGCGGAAGACAAATAATAAAGTGATTCACCACTGACCTAATGAATATCAGAGAAATAAATGAAACATCACCAACATCATTACTAAATCCATGCAAAACAATAATTAAATCATAATGTTCATTACTCTAAACATAAACAATATTGTTACCAAAACATTTAAACATTTGTTTTAAAACTATAAAAAAATTTTAGTCCTAAAAACCTACAATAAAATAAAATTTTAATTCTTCTAATTCTTCACCTTGATTATCACATGAAAAATGTTAAATGTTTGGATAAGTACAATAACCCGTGAATAGAAACCACCTCTAATGAGGTGTGAAAATAAATCTCGTTGTTTATATACAAAAATAAATTTTTGATAGATACATAAGTACAACAAATTGTATCTCAACCCTTCTCACATAATCATTTTAAACAAAATGATTTCATGATCAAAAATAATTTTATAAATGAAAAGACTTTTATAACCCAAAACACCCACCCATTTTTATAAATAACTTTATAAATAAAAAGACATTTTATAACTCAAAACACTCACATACACATTTAGTTCCAAATACATTTGTCAAATCATATTTGTTATCACTAGTTTGGTAATTGACTCAGTCTCTTGTTATCATTAGCCTGATATTGGTCTCGTCTCTTGTTATCACTAGCCTGGTAACTGACCCAGTCTCTTGTCATTACTAGCCTGATGACTAACTCAGTCTCTTATTACCACTTAGACCTGATAACCCCCGTATCCGTCTCATAAACATGATTTTTGTACGCACAAAAACTGTAATTTTAGTCCTAACGTACACAAAATTTCCTTTTCATCACTAAAGCAATGATATAAAATCATCTCACAATGTTATTCAAAATTCACATGTAGAATAAGTTCACAATTTTAAAACATTTAATTGCAACTCCAAACATTAACACATGTATCATATATATAAAGAATCTACACGCAGGCATGCACCCACCTTGAATATAGAAAATCCTCCCAAAAGAAGTAGTAAACTATTTACTTTAATTCCCAAAATTCTATTCAAAGTAATCTTTTCCAACCTTAATGCAATCACCACCTAATCCAAAATAACATATAACAATTAATCCCTATTCCTAACTTCGTCGTGTCACGATTTTATATTTAATTTACGTACTTCCTACCAGTTGATATATACTTAATATATCCTTTACATATAACTATTCTTTCTAATACGAGATAATAGGGTATAAAAGTATTCTGGGTTGTTTAGAAAAAATGCTAAAGTTTTGTGATTAAATCATAATTTTTTTGAAACTTTTGGAATTAAAGTGCAATTTCTTTGAAAAACGAATTTTCATAAATCTTCAAAAATTATGTTCTTCCAACTTACTAAGTAAAAATAGTGGTTAAAATTAAGTTTAGAAGAGTATATGGATCAAAATAAAGTTCTTTGAAATTAAAAGGATGATCCTATAATTTCTAGATTTGGTCTTCTATTAAATTTCAAACAACTACATACCTCAATTTAATATAATAATTTCAAGAAGACCCATATATATACATATATCCACCGATATTATAAACCTTACACCATCTAATTGAATAAAAATATAAAACCCATAAAAAAAGTAATCAATCTATACCTTTAATGAATTGAACCCTTTTTCTTTTTCGTTTTTCTTTTTCTTCCTTCCTTCCTTCTCTCTCTATCTCTCTCACATACTTTTTTTGTTCTTTTCACTGGATAGATGTCTTCACAAATCTTTTCACTAAAAGACCATATCACACATAAATATATCTATACCTATATATATGAAGAGTTTGATCTATCCAACAATGTTACCATATTTAAAACACATATAGAAGGGTCCTAATATGTCTCTCTAAGACAAGACTTTTATTAGAGATACATTAATCTTTTTTAAATTATTTTTTATTCTTATATATATAATTATTCCTAGGTAGCAATGCACCAAATAAACTAAATTTTTTTTTGGGTAATTACAACACTTTCCAAGTAAAAATTTGAATAATAATAAGTATGTAAGAGCACAAATTAGTCAAATTCACGAATTCCATAAAATGCGAGGGCGAATTCACGAGTGGAGCGTGAAGTGTTTAGGAATGGCTAGGAGTCATTGGACAGTTAATGAAGAATTCTGCTGGAGGTTATTTTTATCTGAAAAATGATTAATTTTGAAAAGCAACAACCCAACCTCACATTTTAGGCACGGGAAGCAAAAAAGAATAGGATTTTCTTCCGGGTTTACTCGTTCCCAGGGGCATTCGAAAGACAAGACAGTAACTCAAATTGGAAAAGATAGGGTTTACACAGGTTTGCTGACAAAATAATTAATCTAATATCCATTTACTTACAGCAAATTGGCATGTAGAATTCACAGCACTTGCAATCTGTACGACCATCTCAACTTCACACAGCATACTAATAAAAACAACAATTCAACTCAACAAAACCTTGTTTCAATTAATTGGTACGTGCAACACAATAAATTACCCAACAAAAAAAAACACACCATAAATTACCTGTCGAAATTAGGTGTGAGTATCCACAAGGATATGCTCATCACTGATCAGAGTTCGAATGAGAAGCAACATGAGGGCGATACTTTCGAGTAGAGTTAGAGTAGACCATGGCTTGGATAGTTCCAAAAAAAAGGTTTCCATGCTCAACTCCTGTGTCTCCAGAAGACTTTGACTCAACTTCAAACTGGGTGAGAAGGAAAAAGAGAGAATACCAAACAGCATTCACCACCAGAGCAGCCACCACTGCTGTGCATCAACATATACATAGACTTTCCCCTATTTATGAAAATACCACATTCTGCTTGACAGTTAACTATTTCCAGTAATTTGGATGTCAACCTCACTCTTAAGCCACGGTATCTTCTGAATTTGGAGAAACTTCCCGATGGCGCATTCGATGCTTGTGATGAGATCGTTTATGACGATGACTATGTCTTTTGGAGGAGGTGCTGGAGGTAACAGGGTGACAAATCTCCTCAAACCCTGATGGAAGCCCAAGAACGCAATCAAGTGGGTCTGCTATTGCATCAGCACCTGGGTTCCTCTATGATAATGAAAATAGGTCAGATAAAGAAAACTTAAAGAGGCACTCGGATATGAAAGAAAGGAAATCATCCATTTTTTAAGTTATGCTTACAAAATGTGAATACTTTTGCACATGGTCCTTTTAAAATTAGTGTCTTTGTACATTGGAAGAGGCAGAGAAAAAAGAGAAGAGAAGAGAGGAGGGGGTGGGGGGGAGGGGGAGCATTGTCATCATGAATTAGTTGCCAAACAATGATCACATACATGATACATGCAAACCCCACCATGTTTAAATTAAAGTTTATTTCCTCTAAGCCACCTAATTTCTTCAGGTGACAAAAGCATGGCACGACAATGAGGAATTTTGTATCACTACATCAGAATGTTTATGAAACAACTTTAGTGGTATAAGAAGATTAGTCAGGGATTCTTACAGAAACTTGCTTCAGCTCCACATCCATTTTCTCTGTATCAGTCTTCTCTGTATCAGTCTTGTCATCAGAAGAATCACTGACATGTGACCTCTGAGGAGCACCATTGTCAGCAAAAAAATTTCGGTGACGCCACCTTAATTTTGGCTGGTCTGAGGATGAATCATCATAAACCTTCTCGGAGTAGAAATGTTTGGATAGAAGGTGTGTTGTCCACTTATCATCCACATTGTTTCTCACCATTCTACCATGTGGAAACTATATCATTACATACTTCAGAGACCTCAAGAAAGGGAAAAATACTAAGATTTTGTAGCCCACAGAGAGATGGCAATGATGAAAAAAAAGAGAGAACAGCTTGAAAAATATGTTTCTAGGTTAGTAAAGAGTAACCCTTTACCACTCAGTTCTTTTCAAAGTGTTCAAGGAACTCTTTCTTTTTTTCAGTTAATTCCTTTTTTTGGTCACAAATATATCTAAAGATGTGTGTTCACTTCTGCGTATATCTGACCCTNACCCTGTACCACTCAGTTCTTTTCAAAGTGTTCAAGGAACTCTTTCTTTTTTTCAGTTAATTCTTTTTTTTGGTCACAAATATATCTAAAGATGTGTGTTCCCCAGATCCCGCAATGGCGGGAGCCTCATGCACTGGGTAAAGATGAACCGTGATAATGCATAACCACAAGTATTAGCCTTTACATCGTTATACCCAAAATTACTAGTAGGCGACCGTGGTAGGTACTTAGAATTTAAATTAGCCTGGGATATGGTGAGTGTACAGCCAAAAATGGGGGACATCATAAATTCTCATTTTCTTTTATTTACTGTCACAAAATCACCACAGGCATTATCAATGCTTTTTCCTCCCTTTTTAACCATTTGTTTTTGCTCATCTATTACTTCCACTAAAGCAGGGCCTCTCCTTTACTCTTGTACAGAATTGAATAAACAAACAAAACTATATACAAAAAAAAAAAAAAAAGAATAGAAAAGAAATCAAATTACTTAAAACCTAACATTCTCCAACTTTTGTCAAAGTTCTTACTTATCTAGACTCTTTTTTGCATCCACAACCAATGTCCCACACAGAAACCATTTCCTCTTCCTCGATATATACATGAAGTCCCTCTTAGGCCTCCTTTGTCTCCTGTCATTCTAGTCTCAGAGAGAGACCTTAAAAAAAAAGGAAAACGGTCGACAATGGAAGCAGAAAAAGTTAAAATAAAACAATGAAGAAGTGTAAGGGGATCAGTCCTTTCTGTTTCTTAGTGGAATTATGAGTTAAACTTCTGGACAAGTGTTATTTAAATTTATTTTGTATAGCAAACACCATGTACCCTGAGTCTTCCATATTATCCAATACCCCTAAAATGCATGAGTGTGATTAATCAAATCAGCTTTTTTATGATCATCATTTGTTTTAGCCATAAATTATTCTTACCTGTCCTCTCGAAACTCAGTTTAATTAATTTCTTATTGAAAAAACAGAGATCAATTAAGTGAGACACAAAAGGGTGCCTCAAGCATCATTTGTACTGTTTGATTTTTCACAAAATTGAATGGCAATGAAGAACTACAAGCTTTTGTGATTGGAAAGTTTTATTTGCTTTAGATCATTTGACCAAGTGAGTAGCATCAATAACATTCGTTGTATGTACGCCGCTCAGCAATCCACATGCATCTATAGCATGTTGAACCCGAGGGTAACTTGGCTTGTGTCCGTACACCAAGGACAATCATCTTAGTTGGAGTCAAATTCTTCACCTTACAAACCAAAGCTGAACATATCCACAAAGGCACTCTATTTACTGATGATCCATTTTCGAAAAATTCTCCCTTATGGGGGAAGGTTAATCCTCACATCAACACGGAACATAAAGTGACCTGTTATGGAACAACAATCAAACTAGGTCGATGAGTTCCTAAGGCATTGGATGGGCATCAGAGCCATTGAGGAGAGGCAAGCACCTATCAAGGTGAGTGAGCTAAGATTGTTTTTAGGGCTCATGAATTATTACTGAAGATCCACCGTAAGTTACTCGAAGAGGGCTAAAAAATATCCTAAAGAAGGACGTACCAACCATCGTTGTTTTCCGGTGTGAGTGAGCCTTATATGGAGTTTAACTAAAAAAACCATCAATCACCACAGGTAATATGCAGAGTATGAAAAAATTACCCAATAAAATGGTGGACAACCTACATATTTGCCAACTCCATTTGTATCCGAGTTCCATCCAGAGCAAGAATATGTTCAATATTCGAATCTAGCGACCTACCAAATTTCCACAATCCAAAAAGAGCAGCAGCTCCTGCAAAACAGGTGGAATAAATAGATAGACACACACAAAAAAAAAA